ACCAATGCTGATGTCAGGCTGAGAGCTTTCATCTGTGAGATGGGTCTGCTGTGGCCCCCACTGGTACCACGTCAGGTGCTGCAGTATGGGCTGGCTCAGCTTACAGCAACCTGCTCTGCGACAGGACCCGTTTGAATGTCTTCTGCTGAGCAGGCAAGAGAAAAGACTACTTGTTTTAATCAAAAGATTTAAACCTAGAACTAACAGAAAATAATGCTTCAACCCTGCCTGGGCCTCCCCACTAGCTTTTGATACTTAGAAGGTCTGATTGCTCTTCAAAGGGTTATTCAGAAATACGAACGTCTGGGTGATGTACGCCGCGGAAACTGGAAGCGCAGATAAACCAGCTCGATGCTTCCCTCCCCCACCATCCACACCTCTACCGCACCGCACGCGTAGACGAGCTTCTGAATAAAACCAAAGGGTATTCCTCGGTAAAGCGGTTTTCTGCAATTACTTTGTGTTGAACGTTTTCACTTCTGCTTAAAGGGTGTCTCTCTTCCTGTGTGCGCTGCCGGAGCAGTGATGTGTGTTCAGCAGAGCCTACCCAGAGGTGCAGGGGGGATAGAGAAGGTCTTTTGGCCTCATTAAGTGGGACAGTGTGTAGACCTGCAGCCTGGTTCATCTGGTCTTCTTGATAGCGATGGGGTTGTGGAGCATGTTGAGAAAATTCAGGACAGACAGAGGAGACTACCCACCAGAGCTGGAAGCTGGTTTTGGGGTGAGGTAAGGACAGTCAGACCCATGGGTGGCTGTTGAAACACAAATGTTTCAAAAGAAGATCAGGCCCATTCATGTGGTTTCTGTGATGCCTGTAGCCAGAGCCAGCACGGCTGGCTTTGAACAAGTGTCCTGCAGGGAGCTGTCATCCTGAACCACGGCAAGGGCCCTTCAAATAACCCCCATCGCCTGTTTCCAGAGGATAGAAGGGTTTGTGCAAATGTTGCAAACCAAAGGAGAAAGGATGGGAGTTTGTGTGTGCTGAGGGTGGTGAGGCAGTGGCCCAGGTTGCCCAGAGAAGCTGTGGATGCCCCATCCCTGGAGGGGTTCAAGGCCAGGCTGGATGAGGCTTTGGGCAACCTGGGCTAGTGGGAGGTGTCCCTGCCCATGGCAGGGGGTGGGACTGGATGGGCTTTAAGGTCCCTTCCATCCCAAACCATCCTGTGATTCTATGAGAGAGGACAGCAACACCAACCCCCAGCCCTTGAGGCAGAGGAGACTCATGCTAAGTTGCAGCACTAAAGGTGCACGTAAGCCCATCCCCAATATTGGAGGAGACCCTTTCTAGACAGCTCAGCTCCCTGGTGCTGGCTGAGCTGGGGACCTTCTGGAGCTCACGGCATCTCCTCAGGGCATGGGGCTCTCTCTTCCTGAGCCTTTCTGCCTCCCTGCGGAGAGGACCAGCAACGTGCTTGACGAAGCTGTTGGCCAACAAGTGCAATCTATTGTTAGTATCGCCGCGTCCTCCTCGGTAACATCAGGTTCAGAGGGCAAATCGCTCAAAGCAGCTGGGACATGACTGCTGGCTTGTGAGGAATGATGTAATTACATCTCCCTCGGCGGGGAGGTGAATGGAGAGGCCTTTGGAGGCGCTGGGCTGGGGGGGTGGAGGGAGAGGGCTGCCTCAGGTTACTTCAGGTCAGGATACTGTCAAAATCCATCAAAGGCATTCCCAGGAGAGCCGGCAGCCGACGTGCACAATGCAGGCTTTATGCCACCGGCGGTGGAGTTGAGTTATAGGCATCTGGGCTTTCGAGGGCTTCAATAAAACGTTGCTTTTCTCTTTTTTTTCCCCCTACCCTTCCCCTGCTGCTCTGTGAATTAAGGCTCTTTGGCTTATCGAGTTTGAAGGAATTAGAGCAGCTGACGTTGATATTGTTGTTGTTGCATGTTCATAGACTTGCTTTTGGATGCGAGAACCTGGGCAGCCCTCGAGAAACCCCCGGGGAGTCAGGCATCCGGCAAACACAGCTGTCTTGTTTAGTAACCTGGCCTGTTTCCCCAGAAAATGAACATCTTCACCTGCTGTGCGCCAGTGAAGTGCTTTTCTTTTTTTTTTTTTTTAAATTTTTTAGTTATAAGGATGCTTCCCATTTTAGCCTGAGGTGTGTGTGTTGTTTTGACCTACTGATGGAGGAAAACACCTGCTGCCGGATCCCGGGGTGAAGGAGTGCTGAACTGCAGCTAAATCACTGACTTGTGGCATAAACACAGAGATCCCTTAATGGCTCTGATTCAAAAGAAAGTGTAGGCATTGCCTCCTCCTTGGGAATTTGTTTCTTTTATGAGACTGTATAGGAATGAAGCTTTGGTTGTAGCGAGTGAATGTTATTTGCTTTTCAATGGTCCATTTACCTCGGCAGTAATCCTTCACAACTTGCTTTCCATCTGTTTTTTCCACCTTGTTTTTTGCCACTTGCAAGATATATTTGATACTCTGTGAATGCAGATGTGGGAGTTGTTCCACAGAAAAGATTTCTGTTCTTCATCTGTCTGGTACGGCGGTGCTGGGCGGTGCTGGGTGGGTGTTCGGTGAGCTCGCATGCCACCAAACTGCTCTGAGTCAGCATGGATCTGAAGCAGGCTTTTAAGTAATGATGTAGTGTGAGCAATGCTGAGCACTTTTAATTTCCTTTTGCATTTAAAAAGGATGCAGGATTTTGCCTGGAGTCCACAATTAAAATGATTTGGTTCTCTGTATACGTGGAGATTTGTTCGTTTGATTTATTACAGTGTCAAGTCTATTGAAATGGAAGGAACCACTTTTAAAGTATTTTGGTTTTCATCTTTAATGCTGTTGCTTGTGCTGCGCTCCTTTTGAGAACAAAAATGGCTTAGTCATTTTGGTTTTTTCAGTTTTCTGATGGGGTTGGACGAACTACAGAGATGTCTGATGTAAACCAAGGCTGTTTTCACTCAGACTTAAAAAAGGATGAGATGCTTTTTTCTTATTAGATCTTTGCAGAACAAAATATCTGCAATTCAGTGTCTGAAATCCAGCTGTGGGTTTTGCGGATGTCCATCAGCTGTGCTTTGTTTTAGAACTTCTCCCAGCATGAAAAAGCTGTAGGATTTGTGCAGGTTTGTAGGTTCCCTCCATTTGGCTGATCTAACTCAGGTCCTGAGTGGGCAGAGGGAGGCTGGGGAAAAAGAGCATTTGCCCTGGATGAATTTGGTAGGTGCAATGAATGAAATGGCTCCATAGTAGGATGTTATGTGACTAATATAATTTTCTCTGTCAGATGAACCTTGGATGTTTGGTCTAATCAAAATCTCTTGAGTCTAAAAATTAAAATATCTTTAGACTGAATTTATTATAGTATCCAGTTATGTCCAGGCTTTGGCTGGCTCTGTATTTCTTATGATATTAAGCAGTTTCCAGACTTTTCCAAAAAAGAAAGCTGAATGGTATGCTGGGGACAGAAGGGCGGTAAAGGCTGACTTGTTTCTAAAGGCCCTGCGGTCATTCAGACTCGACTAAATAGAAATGCCTGATTGATTCAGATGCTTTAATGGAACTATTTTGCCTATTCCTTGTCTCTTCTTTTGGAGCTTTTTAACCTTCTTGAAGTATTCCTTCAAATATCCCTGCCCAGAAATGTGCATTTTACATTCTCTTTAATCCTATTAAACAGCGTGCTACACTGTGTATTAATCATCTGACTGGAGCAAATCTGGTGGATTTGGTTCAATAATCCTTCTTTCTGGATCACTGCCTTTCTGGGACCTTGGAAAAAATAAGATATTTGCCATGTCTTACGTTAAAGAACAGCTTGTGCCGTCTAACAGAGGAAGGCTAATAGCTGAGCATGGCAGGCACCAGCGACGCGTTGTTTAGACTAGTTGAAATCTGCTGCTTAGTGCAATGGATAAACTGCTCCGGGAAGCGGGCTGGGGTGAGAGGAAGGGTGTGACTATTTGGGAATCTGGTTACTAAGTGTTTTCAGATGCTGAGGTTCAAAAACTAATTTTTTGGGGGGTGGGGAGAAGTGGGGTAGCTTCAGCTGGGGGTTTGATCGTGGGCTGTGTGCTGATGTGAGCAGTAGCTCTGATGCTTCACCTTGTCTCCAGCGTGAGCCCTGCTTTGCCGTAGTCTTTGCCTGGACTAATCCAGGTGGAGCAGAACGCTTGATGGGTTTTAATTTTTCTGACTGGTGTGTAGGTGCTTCTTCAAGGTGACATCAAGCCAAAGATGTGGGCTCTGATCCTTGGGCTGCCAGGACAGACTGAGTGAGCATCGCTGGGCAGGGCAGATCGTGATCGTAAGCAAATTCCTGAACTCATCAGGGTATTATAGAAACATCTGTACTGCAACGAAAGGACCTTCTCCTCAGAAATAGCTGGCTGAGTACAAAGAGGAGCCACATTCTTGCATTGATTAGATTAGTGCAGATATCCAAATGTTTCCAGCAGTACAGGAAATGGTCTTTGTGCTGCTTGAGCTCTAACAGATACCGCTTCGGTTTCCGCTTTGCCCTCCAACACATGCGCTGGGGTTTTTTTCCTTCCCTCGTTGCCTCCCTTACTCTGTAACCTCCTGGATCTTTGATGTGGTGATAGACTAAATGGCTTGTGACATAGCCCAGCAACACTTGATAGGAATAGTCAGAAAGAAGCTTTGCCATCAGAGTTTAAAAGGCGCATGATCTTCAAAGCCTTTTGGAGAGCTTTGAATTTACGGCAGAGCACGCTGCAAACGCACCCGGTATCGAAACATATTTTGCATAAGGACAGTGAGTGCGTGGGGTGTTTGCTAGATAATACATCCCAGCAGGAGCGTTAAAGAGATCCATATTCCTACTCAAGTACAAAAATCTCATGGGGGTAGGGTTAGCCTCCATTTCTGGTATCGTTAGTGATGCCTGACAGGTCTTTAGGCCACTTGTCCCTCTGTCATGTGTATGTGTGTGTGTGTCTGTCCCATTTTTGGTTCATTTAAATACTGGTTTATTTATTTACTGTAGTCTAGTCCTTGGCTAATTCTGACCCTTTCTCTCCAGCTCCCTGCCGACCATGCAGTGACACAGAGGTCCTCTTGGCTGTCTGCACTAGTGATTTTGGTGAGTTGTTGCTTCCCCCCTCCCTTCTCACCCTGGTGACATCCATAAACACTGATGGACACCAACTGCCACCAGCAGTAAATGTGGTCTGGAGGGGCTGTGTGCACAGGAGAGGGAGGAGGACATGGTGTGAAGGACCTCGAAACCGTGTCCCCCGCTGGCACTTCCCCAGGGTGGGCAGAGAATGACCCAGCAACCACGGTGGCAGTAGAAGTTCAAAGACTTGGGTGCATCTGGGAGAGGCCTTCACCTGCTGCCCTAACATGGGCTGCTGACGAAAGACCAAAAGTTTCAATAATTCTCTGTGCTTCCCTTTTTTAAAGGGGAAATTAATATTAGCTGGTATCTGTAGTGGGTGAAGAACAGAAAGTGCGTTGTTGGGGAGCATGATGTGTCTTGTTGTTGGAACTCTCCATCATGGTTGATGCTACTTTTCTGATGCAATTATTTTTCTGTTCAAGTGTAATATGCGTGTGCTCTTTGCTGGACAGGTGACAAATACAAACTGCAACAATCACAAATGTATGCTGGGGGTTACTGATATAACCTTAACTCTGAAAATAAAGGAGCCAAACTGGGGCTGCTGTAGTGAAATCAGTTGCTCTCCAACTGCCGGGTTGCTTGGGGCTGAGTTTGGACCTGGTTCTTTCAGAGGGGTTTTGGGTAACTCTTACGTCCTTTTTCTGTTCCCAGTAATCAGAGGCTCCATTCAAAACGTAACGAACATGGCAGAAGAGCAAGAATCCATCATTCATGTTGGTGTCAACAAACTGTACAGGCAGAAGAGCAAAGTCTTCCAGCTCACGGGGGAGAGTGGGAACTGGCGAGGACAGATCAAGACCCTGCTGGAGTGTGGGGTGAAACCAGGAGACGGAGACTTCCTTTTCACGGGCCGCATGCACTTTGGGGAGGCCAGGTTAGGCTGTGCCCCCCGTTTTAAAGACTTCCAAAGGATGTACAAAGAGGCAAAAGACAAAGGGCTAAACCCATGTGAGATTGGCCCAGATTGAAATCCCCTATTTGGCTGGAGATTGCCTTTAGCGTTTGACCGGGAATATTTCCTGGCCACAGTGAAAACTCTGAACAAAATGGGTAACTGAGAGTATGGACAGATCTGGAGCGCGGGCTGAGACCCCGCAGGACACGTCTGCAGCCTGCGGGGCTGTGAGACTGATGGAAGCAACAGAGGTACGAGCTCAGAAGGCTGCCAAGCGAGCAAGGCTGGATTTTTAACCAATCTTGTCCTTATGAATTAAGTTATTATATTTTTTTAGTGACTTCCTTAGGAAAACAAACAAAGAAAACTCCCATGTCTTAATAAAGAAAACAAAACCCAAATGAAAGCCAACATGCCTTTGTATCTTTTTAATACTAATTTTTAAAAATGTCTTAAGCTGATGTAGCATTTGGTATGGCGTATTCTGTATAAATGGGGGACAATGTGATAGAGCACGGTAAAACATCTTAACATTGATGCTTTGTAAAAAGCTTGGTGTACAATTCAAAGTTGTTTCTTATGACAGAAATTTATGGAGCCAAACTTGTGTGTGTGTGTCGTCTTTTTTTTTTTTTTATTTGAAAGAATGTACAATTGCCGCCTGCAATTTTTTGTCCAGGCTGGCAAATTCTTTCCATTCCAGAGAAATAAAGGTCCCTGGATTTGACACATGCTGTTTAAAATCTTTTTTTTTTTTTTTTTTTTCTTCTCCATAAGGCCAATCTCTGCTAGTCCAGATGTGCTCATAGATCAATTCTGGGCTGCTCACTTATTTTGTGGCTTCTCTGAGCAGAAACAGAGTTCCTGTGAGGCACTGGGAACCGCAGCGTTTTTCAAAGGGGAAGCGGGAGCTATTTTTGGAGATTTTCAGACACGTGTCCAGGCAAGGCTCTAAGTGTTCATCTCTCTGATGCCTATGGGGTTATTTTGGGAATGGCTCCGAGGAGCAGGCTGCCCCTTTGTGTTTAGCTCGAAGCTTTTCATGGTGCTGGCTGGTAGCTCGGCACAAGGCAGATGTTCGTGCTGCCGTGTGAGTCCCAGGGGCCAGGCCCAGGGCACCTTGTGAAAAATAAGGGCTTTAACAAGGGTGGGCCACTTCTAAGGCAGTGTCCTGTGGGAGGTACGGGAGCTCTCTCCGCTTGCTCAGCCACGTCACCCTTTGTGTTTAGCTCGAAGCTTTTCATGGTGCTGGCTGGTAGCTCGGCACAAGGCAGATGTTCGTGCTGCCGTGTGAGTCCCAGGGGCCAGGCCCAGGGCACCTTGTGAAAAATAAGGGCTTTAACAAGGGTGGGCCACTTCTAAGGCAGTGTCCTGTGGGAGGTACGGGAGCTCTCCCCGCTTGCTCAGCCACGTCGTTCCTCATAACCTGCAATGCATCACTTCAATGGTACCTTCCCAAGGAGTTGTTGTAACCTCTTGCCCGTGTTGATTCTTCAGTGCTTTGTGCTGCCCCAACTTTATTTTTAGATCATCAGGTTCTTTAAATAGAAAGTTTCCACTCAGGGACTCTTTTTGCCTCATCCCTTATATCTCCTTCATGTAATTGTTGTTTCTGAGGTTCAGGGAGGGCGTCTGGAGCGACTCGGAGGATGCTCTTCTTGGGCGGATGCAGGAAGCTCTAAGATGGATGGGACAGGGATGTCCCATGAGACTTTTTTGGGTTAAAAAAAACAGGGTTGTACCAAAATATTGGCCTGAAGTAGGACCAAAAGCCCTCAAAAAGTATTTCTGTAATCTTCTCTCAGCAAGATTTGTTCCGTGAGCCTGTTGGAGAAGGGGAGTTTCTTTTAGCTGTGGATCCTAAGAGGCTCCAGGAGCTTGTGACGACTTCTGCAAACACCTCTAAACCCTGTTTAGCACCCATCTATCTTCTGCACCAAACCCTGCACCCTGCTCTGTGTGGTTCAAGGTCTCCCCATCCTACTCTTGAGGGCCAGGACTGGTGGAGGGGGGAAATTATTCAATCTTTGCCTTCAGCCTGCCCCAACCCTTCTCCCGGCATTGCTTCCCCTTCCAGGGATCTCAACCCAGCCTTTTGTGGACTTTTAAAAATGATTCTGTGATTTAGCACCGAGATAACTCCCGAGTACATTTGAGGGGGCGTTTCAGAAGCCCTGTCCCTAACCTCTCCTGTCCTGCTGTGTTTCAACAGCTTTTTCTAGTGCAGAGTGGCTGCTGGCAGGACAAGGAGGGGAGAACAACATGTTCCTGGATTTGTCTCCAACCTGCCCACTCTCCTCTTCCTGTGCGAGGCAGCGGGAGCGCGGGGAAGAGGCTGAATTAAATGTTCAGCCAGTGTTTGTGAGGACAGCGCTAGCAAAATACAAACAGTCGGGGAAGCCTTGGCCCTGGAGCTCCAGCGTTGGCTGCAGTTTGATTTTTATGGAAGTTTAAATTGTTTGTAGACTTTTTTTTTTTTTTAAATACCCTTTGAACCATGCTTGGAGCCAAGCACGGAATTGGTGCCTTTCTTTACTCCAGTGTCTTGATTGCCTACCCAAGGAGGAGCAGGGCTGTGCCTTCCCCCACCTCCACTGGTCTTGGCCCTGCTCTTGCTGAATTGCTCTTCTCTGAGAAACTGCCTGTGTCCTGTGAGCTCCCTGGAAACCCTTGGAAGGAGAGGAAATACCACCCTGCTGATCTTAGCTCTGCCTCAGCTCCAGAAGAAGCTGCGGAGCTGCCGTGTTGGAGCACTCTGGAGTTGCTCCATGTCCATCACGCTGGAGGTGCTTGCACAGCTACAATTACAGAGTGTTGGAGGGAGCGGCTGGATGAGCAATCACTCTGCTCAGAACCCAGTTCTTTAATCAAAGTGGCATTAAGATCTCGCTCTGCAACATTTTCTCCCCCCCTCTCCCCACCCTTGTCCCTGTCTTGAGCCTTGCTCGCCGCAGCATTGCGCGTTGGCTGATGTGCATCATCCCCAGCAAGCCAGCAGTAATTGCAGGATGTGCTCCTGGCGGGGACCTGGTGCCACATCTCTCAATAGCTAGGTGTGCGTGTGCTTTGTACAGCCGGAGGTTAATGGAGGGACCCCACCCACTGCCCTAACATCCAGCTCCAAACGCTCGCCCTTAAGTCTTTGAAACATGATTACAGCTTGACCTGTCTGGCAGCAGAGCTGGAGATAGAGAGGATGGATTAAAAATCACTGTCTTTGCTCACATGTGCTGACTCCACCCTTTAATGAGAAGCAAATGACATGCTGATGCAGCATTATGTGAGGACACGCTTGTTGCCACCTAATGAAAAATCTTGGCTGAAGGTGACTTGGGACAGAGGTGGAGCAGGTGCTTGCAAAACATTCATTGCTTTTCTTACCACTGCAGCTCTCTGAAGATGAAGGGCTTCCTCTTGATACCTAATTAACATAATTTAATTCCTATTAAAAGCAACAGACTGACTTATCTGTTCCTAAGAAAGCAGAACTAATGAAGTTAAATTGCCTTCGTTAGAGCCCCCTTCAGTTGGGCAACACTACCCATAAACAGGCGCAAGGCATCGCCTCTGTTTTTGCATCTGAACTCTGGCAAGTGTGTGGTTTGGGTTGTTAGTGAAAACACTTTCCATGGTAACCCTCTACTTCTCTGATTTTTCCATGAGGCATCAGTAACGAGCCCACTGGTGAACTAAGTCACCTCCTAGGTAGGAGCCACGCCGAGCTCACTGTGGTGACAAATAGGTTGAGAAACTCGTGTGGGTGTCTACACGGCTCTGGGTGGGGTCTATCAGACCCTGCCTGCCTGGGGGAAGTTTTCCCTCTTTCATACCATGGAGAGCCAGGATCATCTCTTCCCCAAACACCACGACCCCAGTGGCTGGCGTGGAGGGGGGCGAGATGGTCGTGCTTGGTTTGCCTGCAGCCAGACCACAGGATCTTGATTAAAACCCCTGTTTGCTTCCTGCCATTTTTCTCCAAGCTATGCTGGTACGCTTTGCCTTGGCCACGCTGCAGGGTGGTGTGTGTGCCCCACAGCATGCCCCACTGGGTGATGTCCCGTCCCACCCTTGGCCAACTGCCCGGTAAGGTCAGAGACACTTGCAGGCAGCTTTGCATCAAGCTCTTTTCTGGTGCTGGCGCCTCCTCCCAGCTCTGCTGTCCCAGTCTTGCTGGTGATCCCAGTTTCCATGCTGGGAAGCATCACATGTTGCTGTAGCACTGACCTGCTGCTGCTCTCTTTTCCCAGTAAGGGAGAAGCCCCTTACCACCAGCACGGCTCAGCCTGTGCTCTGCGGGGGGGAACTGCCCCGATTTGTCTGCTGTGGCAGGACACATTGTGGTCTGCTCCTCCGTGCAACAGCCTCTCCCTGCTCTGAGGGCACACACGGGCCATGGGGGAGGACGCTGTGGCCACACTTAAGCAGAACAGTTGCCAAGTTCTCAGCACCTTGAGCACCAGCATCGGTGTCTTCTCCAGTACAGAGAGAGACCAGCTTGGTCCTGCCCTGCTTGACGCAAGTTCTCAGCACCTTGAGCACCAGCATCACTGTCTTCTCCAGTACAGAGACAGACCAGCTTGGTCCTGCCCTGCTTGACATGAGAGGGGGACAGATGTGGTTTGCAGTGAGTCACCCTGGCAGAAGGCAGGAGGCTGATCTGGCTCTTGCATCAAGCTCCTCCGAGTGTCCAGGGGCGTTTGCCGGCCGGGGAGGAGGCCGTGCGCCCAAGGACGTGCATGGTGCAATGCAGCGGGTGTGTCCTGCTGCCTCGCCTTTGAAGTGTGATGGGACTTGTATGAGCTTCGAGCCTGAGCGGCTGACGTGGTGCAACACCTCCGAGGGAGATAGGAGCTCTCCTTCTGCTCATCACGAACATAATTAGATGACACTTATTTCTGGAACTGGAAAAGTCGCTTAGTGATGCTTGTCAGAGGTGCTGGTTGAATGGTAAGTAAGGTTAGCAGCATCGGGACCAGCTGTGCCAGGAGATACCCAATTGCAAACCAAATTGGTTGTTAAGTAAAACAGAGAAATATCAGGAGGGAAACATGTGCGAGTCTCTGAGAGAGGTTAGAAGCACCACAGAGCCAAAACCATGTGCAGAAATGTCCTGACAGCAGCACCATTCAGATCTGGAGGAGTGGAGCTGCTGGGGTGAGGGAGGAGAAGAGGAGAAATCAAGTTTCTCCAGCTTGAGAGAAGTGATTCCCCTTCCTGCTGCAGGGGCCAGCCCTCTCCTTCGGCTGACTCTGATCCTTTTAGCGAGGACCAGTCAGCCTTCCTTGGGCTGGCTGCAGGTGGGCAGGAGCGTGGGGTGATGGCCCAGGGGCTGGAGCAAAGAAGGCACCTTCTCCAGACAATCCTTTCTCCTTCGCCATCGGTCTTTGCCTCAGAGCTTCACTGAGAGTCCTCCAGGGACAGACCCTGTGACTGACTGTGAGTGCTCTCCTCTTCCTCTTCCTCCTCGCCTACCAACAGTGAGATGAGATGCGTGGTGGTGGTGGAAACAAAGCAGCCCTGTGAAGTTCATTTTGGAGTGTCACACCCACCCATCTCAGCATCACCCAAATGCCTTGCTTTTGCCCCAAACAGCATTTGGAAATCTCTGGCCAAGGCTGGGCAGAAAATACGGAACAGGGCTACACTGCTCCCTGGGTCCCTCCTCAGCGGTTCTCCTGGGCTGCGTGCTGGAGCCAATGTGGGTGACGGGGATGTCACGGCAGGCCA